AATCCTGTAAGTATGTTGTCGCTAAGTATTTTCATCTTTCTTCCTTTTATTCACACTCGTTTTGTTTTTCGTAGTCTAACCAGATCCTTGTAACGAATCTTTGGTCCGAATCTCCTTGGAATAAATTCATATGAACATTTAAGTCTACATGAAAGGATGCCCAGGGGGCATGAGCACATTTCGTTTGTATTTTCGATCGCTTTTCGGGACATTTTTTTCTTTACCTTTCTTAGAATAAGATTCTAAAGGGAAAAAAGATCCTTGTGCTGCATTTGGATGCGATGTAATAATGATCGCCTTTTTCCCGAGAAATATACAGTGAAAGACCATATTTCTAACACTAAACTAGAAAAAGGCGATCATTATTACGTCCAAACACGGCACAAGGATCTTTTTTCCCATTACAACCTTATTCTAAGAAAACTTTAAGAAAAGATGTCCCGAAAAGCGCTCGAAAATACAAACGAAATGTGCTCATAAAAACCTTCCCCCGCAACACCCCCTGGGCATCCTATAATACTCCTTAAATTGAATTTATTCAATATGGCCGCCGTATCGGTAAAAAGAAATTCGCTGCACAAAAATACAGTACTAAGAAATCGTGTGCGTTCAATCACAACTTGTCTCTTTCATTCAGAAAAAAAAACGGTATACAACGAAATACTGGTTTATTGATTGAAAATATATGAATTTCTCTTGCACGTACTCAATAAAAACGAAAATGTTACCAATGCTGGTACTGGGCACTTTCTGAAAATCGCCAAAATTAATTCCCAGCAAGAAACACCAATCTGTCCTTATCGCAAAAATTAGTTCTCGCAAAACACAAAAAAAATCACCAATCCGCAAAAGTAAACTCCCGCAAAAATTTCGTGCCACACGGTGGGCGAAGTGTTTGACAGCTCAATGACTTGGAAGGCTCCCGCGGACTACATGTATAAGGATGGCGGCGACAAGAGTTAGTATCCTCGGCCGTGCTAGAAGTTTCGAGGCAAAAGAGGTAGTTATACTTGTTTACAACACAATAATTCTCTCATATTTGATGACTGCGATATCTCCTTGAGCAATCTACTTCAACAAGACGTAAATAACTACACTGCCTACAAAATAGATCTGACTGGTCGGGGATAACCACACGTTGTACACAATCTTCTCGAAGTGGCTGACTCTTCAGTAGCAGACGCTTCTATCACAAGGCTAAACTTGTTTTTCTTTGCCTTAATTCTGCCAATTAGTTCCAGGCTTATATTATTTTACTAGATTTTTGAGCATTCTTGACTACACGACAGAGTATAAGGCTATCCCTACCAAAGGTTAAACTGAATTATGGAAAAGAACCTTTTTTTAAAAGGCGCGAGAACTTAAACTCCCAGCTTTTAAACATCGCAAACGCCTAGAGTGTAAAAACTTTCTGCTACCGATCGAGCAAACCATTTTTTTTTTTCTTAGTGTAACGTTTAATAACGTTTCCTTGAAAGTTTGCAGTGTTTCTTATGTTTTTTTTTTCGGGTCTTTTAACGTTCAAGCTATCATAACTTTATTTAGTATATATTTATCTAAAATTCTTAATGTTAAAGTAAAGAAGTTTTCTAAGACCTAGGCCCCTCTTGGAGACAAGCCTTTGAGCGGAATGGGCCATCCTGTTAGAGCAGAGTTTTACTCTATTAACTTTACTTTAGTGATGGGTATGATGCGAAAGCAAGAGACATTTACCATCAACTTAAACCCTTGAACTTAACGAAAAGCGAGGACGGGTTTCTTTAACATCCACATAATTGGACTACTGGGCTGTGACACGGGAGACGGGCGGGGCCTACGGTTTTTTGTCCTTATTCGCGGAGAAGCGAACAAGCGTGGTGAATAAGGGACACTTACATGGCCAAAATCGTGAGATCCCGAGAGCTACCTTGCCTCCGCGGATAGCCACTCAAAACACAGGATCGGACTCGCTTACTCATCCATAACCGTAAAATTTTGGTGGTGGGCCCTCGCGCCTCAACTGAGACTACATGCAAACAATAAGTAAATAAAATAATTCGAGTTGATTCAAGTTATTTTTAGTGTTTGTTTCTTAACACGTCCATTAACATTGATTTATGGCTTTCGTACCTTGTACTGTGGGATTTTTGGATCTTTTGCCCCATTTTGATGGTATAAGCATCACTATGTACAGTACATATTAAGCAAGAATTAAAGTTTGTGAATAACTGAATGAATGAATAACTTCAAAGAGTTTTAAATATCTCAGGCTCTATCCAATTATCGTCTGTTGAGGAAATTGGTTATAAGGAAAAAACAACATACAAAATACCACTGACCGTTATTACTCATTATTTGATCTTATTTCCCCATGCAATCACCCCTTCAATATCGGCCCGTATCAACTGACGTTGAATATTTTCTTTAATTTGCCATTAGTCCTTTTGAAAGTAAGAATAAATCCATAGTTGTACTGACATAATTACTTCTTAATTTTGGCACAAAAAATCAGCAAAAAAATTAACATTTTACTTGTCAGTGAAAAAAAAATATTGCTTTGGCAACTTTAGTCCCTGTATCTTAGTGGCAAGGTAACAGAATGGAACACTTTTAAATGTGAAACTTAATAAAAATAATTCCTAATTTCATTCGTCACAAGTTTATTACTCGTAATGATTTCGCTTCTAAACTAAAAAGCAACATCAGACAAAAAGCGGCCTTAAGAAGAACTTTCTGGTAAAAGCAGAACATTCAATGTCGCCATTTTACAGCTGGCAATCTAAGCCTTCCTTCAATTAATATAAGTTGTTTGGAAATGTGAACTTCCGAACAAACCATGTTAACCATCCAGATTAAGAAACTAAGTTAAAGTTGGGAGAAAAGGAGCAAATTCATAGACGTTATCATGGTTTTGGAGGCCATCAAGTGTTTGTATGGGAATCTTATGTCGAATTATTTTCGTAAAGCGTCTGTTGTTGTTCCGAATAAAATTTGAATTATTGTGTAAACTTAAACTTCACGGCAAAGGATTTAGTAACAAATTTTTGGCGCCGCACCTGTGGTAAATTCTACGGTCGCCTGCCTTAGATGTTCCAAACAGTTTTCTGCAATTTTTCCCCGAAAATTATAGTCGTATCGGCAATAATAAATTTTACACAAAAATGTACAGAAAATTTTAAAAAGGAGTTTTAACACAGCTCCATAAACGCCCTCAAATGGATCTTTTTATGTGTAGCTTTAATGTACAATTATTATCATTATATACATTTTTTTTTTCAAAACAGCCGTTTTACAAAATCATTGGACGTTAGATTTGCATACAAACACTGTTTTTTTTTTGTTTTTGTTTTTTTATGTGGTTGCCTACCCGAACACAAAACCGTGATAAGCCTATTGTAAAGGTTTGAGGGGAGTAATTATGACTTTGCAAAACATGTAAATGAACTTTTTTCAGTTTGTAGGCAATGAATATGCTTGCTCCACCTTCACACTCAATTATTTATTGAAAATCCCTGAACTGGTTCCCTAACCCTACCCGTTGAGTTCATTATACGAGTGACGGACTGCTGTGGCTGTTTGCGATTCGGTTAATAATCCGTGAGCAGGCAAAATCTATTGTTAGCACGAAGGGAAAAGGCGAGGGAAAAGTGAAATTTTCACCCATAATGATGACTTTTTTCTTGTATTTTGCGTTGGTATTTCCAGTTTGTGCGGTAAGTTCTCATTATGCAGAAAATAGTAGACTATCGATGTAGTGAGAATAGCAATACTTTTCGTCATTTAAATTTCAAGCCTTCTGGCGAGTGACAGTGTAAGGATTTTCATAAGACCCAAGTGAAATTATTTCCTAATGTCACAAGTATATGTATACCATTTGATTGCCTAATAATATCATGGATAACAACTACATGTATGATCGTAATCTTGACTAGTTTATTGTATCAAGATCTCCAATCATTGAAAGCGTAAAGTATACACTTTGGGTTAAGTTAACAATTTCCTAAACTTTCTGCAAAAATCCCGTTAAAATCATTCCTACAAAGTTGTGCTTTGTTGTTGTGCTCTTTCGACGCTCCTTTGCATGGTTAGGGTTTCTACAGCGTCTTTTTATCATTTTGCCGTATTTTCTGTTCCGTGATATCTTTCATCTAAGCCTAGCGGTTAACAAAATAAAATGGAATAGATTTTTTTCCAACTAGGATTCGCGTATTTCTTTTTAGAAATTAATTTTGATACATGTATTTGGCTTCTCCCAGCCAGGCATGAAGGGTTATCAGGACTTACAGACTTACGACAAACGGGTCCCTTAACGCTCGGTATTCGCACTAAGGTGTAAGACCAATCTCACTGCAATTTTTCAAATTTATATGTGAAAGGATAACTCAAAGTAAGCCTGAAATCTCGGGCCAAAATGCACTAAATTTTTAACCATGCGATTTGTACATGTCACTTATCCAAAAGTTACGGGATGAACATTTCTAAACAAGGTTCCTCTTTTATTTCTTAAAATACGCTCATTTCCAAATCATTGAAAATTCAGAAATTTGGTGAACCAATGTTCAAAATAAATGCACCAGACTGGGGAACATTTATAGTTACTAGCTGACCTTGTAAATCGTTAATTATTTATTCATTACTACCCTTCGCACAGCGCGCAAAGCGCGAATGAAAACACAACGACATATATGGAGTGTGACTCTTGCTGGGTGCCTAATGGACACAATGGACCAGCGCGAGAGAAAAAACAAAGACGATAAGGAACGTGCGGGAGAAAAGCAGTCTACTTCAAAAAGGCAAAAAAGTTACAAATTGATTGCTTTGGGTACCATTAACTTATCTTTGGTACTGACATCTATATAACTATCCTTAGATTTGGCTGACTTCCAGCCAGCATGCCTATCCAGAAACTCTCCAGAAATACCAGCAGCGTTTGATGCGGTAGCGCCGCCCTTTTTGAGGCTATGAGTGCCGTATCTGTCAACATCTTTGACAAAAATTTTTATAATCTCGCGGAAAATTTCCCTAACTCTAGAATAAGAGATAGAATGTTGAAGGGCAGTGCGTTTGGATGAAAGTCTGCAAACTAAAGGCTGAACAGGATTATCAGGCAATTTAGATAACATTTTTTCAGTGATGGAAACAGGACATGTAATCTTGCCTGACCTTGCAAAATAAAAGAAATGCCCTTGAGAACGTTGATCATTCTTACGCTTAGGACAAAAAATTGACATATGATCAGAAAAAATAGAAATATCACTTCTGTTGATGCGAATAACTTCGTCACACCGCATGAGACCAGCAAAAGCAATAATAAATATAAAACAGGTTCTGAGGTTAGAAATAGAAGCCTGAGGAGTGTTAAATTTTTCTGCAACTTTAGTGACTAAGTCAACGTCAACAGACTGTTTCCCTTGAACAGGTTTACCCAATAAACGCTTAGAAGCTTCCAATACTTGTTTAACAAAACTGCATTCGGTTGGAGAACTAGCTCCGGTAATTTCATGAGCCCACCTAACTGCATAAAAAGCAGCTTCAATAGGTGCAGGAGAATTACATGATTCAACTTTTTCTCTAAGATATAAACAAAACAAAAAAGGTGAAACGGGGAACTGGTTATAGCCTATATTATCCTTTTCCCATTTTTTCCAATTAAGCCATGCATTTTTATACTTAACATTGGAAGACGTGGCTTTAGAGCAAAGTACAAAAGCAGGAAGAGAGTCGGCCAGGCCTTTCAACTTGTTAGACAAAGGCTGAAACCTCTGAGACCACAATCCAGCTTGAAAAACGTCTATATGAAGAAACAAATAAAAAAGAGCATACGTGTAATCAAGAAATCAAAAATAACGCGCTTAGCAGGAAAAATCCAGACGAAGAGCGAGAACATTAAACCTGGGCATGCAAGAAAAAACGGACCTTTTGTTAGAATAAACAAAAGATGAACCCCTACCAGGAATAAACATATCACATGATTTAGGTAAACAACAAAAATCCTTAACAAAGTCTTGAAATAAAAGCGAACGATCAAAAAAACATAGCAATGGCCAAAAAGGCGCAGATTTCCACTCTGGCACAACAAGAGTGCCTTTAGCCTTACACGATTCCATGTGATATAATACTGCGCTAATTAAGTGAGGAGGCGGACAAACAAAATTGTTACATTCTTTCCCCCAATCCTGCGTAAAGCAATCCACTGCTTCAGTACCAGGACACCAAAACTTAGAATTACAACGAGGCAAATGACTCTGAAGATGACTACCGCACAGGTTGTCGAAACGTCAGTCACTGTCAACAACAACAGTCCTATTCAGGACTACGTTCACCCGGACGATCAAACTCAACCTTTTGAAATGACTCCTGGGTTCAAACCTTTCACAGCAAATGAGTATTGTAACTGCACGCCATCCTGTCAACATCAAAAGGACCCCACTTAAATGTAATCAACTTGAACAAATCAGGATGTAACATCCAGTCATCAGGATCGACGATGCGACTCAAATAGTCGGCCGGCTCGTTGTCACCTCTAGGAATCCATTGAGCCTGAAAAGACACGCTGTTAGTCATACAAAAACTAAAAATATCGACAGCAATCTGCTGCAAGTGTATGATACTGCTCCCAGCATGTACAATACGAACAACGTTCTGATTATCTGAAAAGATCTTAACCTTCTTACCAATAATAAAGTTCTGAAAGCTTTTCAAGGCTAAGTAAACAGCCAGTAACTCACGAAGAGAAGAGCTAAGAGCACGCTCAACAGAGCTCCACATTCCGGAACAAAACATCCGTTCACCACCAAAAGAGATGTGGGCACCATAACCAGACTCGCTGGCATCGCAGGTTAAAACCACGCTAGACGACAAAGGTCTATTTATTGGATAGCCATTAAACGCTTCTACATGCATTAACCAAAATTTTAATTCATGTAAAACTCCTTCAGTTGCAACAAGTACATCATCCCAAGAATGTCGCAATTGAATGAAAAAATACATTTGTCTAGTAAATAATCTAGCAATAGGCCCCAAAGCAACAGAAAGAGAAATCACAAATCCAGAAACACGAGCTACGTCCCTAACACGAAGGTAAGGAAATTCGTCAATAAGACCAGTCAAAACTGACTTTAACTTCACATTTTTTTTCTCCGGGATGATGAAAAGCATTCGAATTGTATCAACGATTATCCCTAACCACTCCCCCAACTGACGGGGCTCCCAATTGGACTTCTTCTCGTTAGACTTCCAGCCAGAAAGCTGGAGATCAGACCTGACTAATTTACTAGCGGACTGAGCATCTAATAACGATCTGCAGGCAAAGATTTCATCATCAACATACACAACAGCAAAAATACCAAAGGATCTCCAACGAGCAACGAAGGGTTTAAACATCTTCGTAAATAAATAACAAGCTGAAGACAGACCGAAGGGCAAAACTCTGAAAACAAAATACCTAACAACGCCATCGAAAGACCACGAAAATCCTAGAAATTTCCAAAAATTAGAGTTAATATCCAGATGATGATAACCAGACTCAATGTCAAAGGTGAAAAACCAAAAATTCTCACGAAACATAACCGCCAAAGTAGGAAGACCTTCATATTTAAATTTAAAGTTCTTAACGAAAGGATTAACGGATCTACCAAGATCTAAAACTAAACGCAACTTACGTCCTACAACAACAGAAAGCGGATTACAACAATAAGGTCTCGAAAATACCTCTATCACACATCTATTCTGCATTATTAAATTCTGCATTATTAAGTGCACTTCTATTGTTCGTAAGGAAACAAGGTGGAGGTAGAGCAATGAACGGGATCATGTAACAATTCAATAAAACTCCAAAAACGAGGGCAGATAACTGCAAATTATTGAACCACCAAGCCTTGCGAGCAGCAATGCGGCCTTGAACTGACTGCACAGGAGATGAATCCTGGATTACGTCTGCCTTGTTGTAGTCGAATAAATCTATAAAATCGGTTTCACCTGAATCGTCGTACGGAGGTAAATTAATAACAACGGACCCGGAATTACTTGGATCCCTGATTGGCGGGCATAATTGTTGGCTGCAATGGTAACTGTACCAACTAGCGTTGCCAAGAGTAGCCTGCGTTGCTGCCTGAAGCGGGAGAGTTTCTTGAAAGATAGCAGTTCCTCCAGAAGTGCCCTGGCTTACCGCAGAGGTAACAGCCGCTCATGGAAGGAAAAACAGGAAACTCGTTAGAATATGATCGAGCAGGGGAGGAACGTCTAGAATCGAGCTTACATTTATTGGCATCCATCGAAGCAAAAGAAAGAATAAACAAGACTTCTAGTTTGGTCATCGATAACGGCTGTGCAAAAGGCGAGATAGCCAAAAAGCCTCTACGTCGATATTTATACAAATATTCATAGTGTATAATCAAATGTAGTTACGTAACCTCTATTAAAAGACTGAGTAATTAAGAAGAAAAGGTTGACACAAATGTGACAAAAATGCTACGAACCGTAATGAAACAGCTTTTCAACTACACGGTGTTACGTTGAAAAGCATTTATTTCGTTTACCTTAATGCTCGGTCTCAATAAGGGATCTAAAATATTTTTATCGTGCCAAATTCTAAAACACGAACCTTCCTAGCAAATTTGGCCTGGTTTGATTTCCGAAATAATGTATTGCACTTTACTAGTTTTCGCCTTGCTTTTAAAATAATTTTAAAGTACGAATTGACTCGCAAATTCTTCAGTAAAAAACGGTCGTTATTTTTCTTTTTCTTCGTCTTAGATCGCCGCCACTTTACCCTTCTTGTACTTAAACTGCCTTCTTTAGACATCTGAAAATTTCTTAAATATTTTGGGTCCCGCGTACGTTTAGGAGAAAAAGCGGATTACATGATTGTCGCTGGACAAATATTAACAGCCAAGAGATGGCTTAAATATCAACTTGTAAATTATTTATCAGCTCTTACTGAACAGCAACAGTTTTTCAAATCACAAATTTGAACATCAATGCTTTGCGCTCACTAGGAAAAGCGGATTGCATGATTGTTGCTGCACAAAATTATTAACAGTCAAGAGGTGGCTTAAATATCAACTTGTAAATTATTTATCAGCCCTTGTTAAACAGCAACAATTTCAAATCGCAAATTTGAACATCAATGCTTTGCGCTCACTAGGAAAAGCGGATTGCATGATTGTTGCTGCACAAAATTATTAACAGTCAAGAGGTGGCTTAAATATCAACTTTTATAAAATAACTGAGATAGTACGCGTGATCTGATTGGTCAAAAACCTATGGTTTATTATGCCGGTAAACCCATAGAAAAAGGCATTCGGACCACGAGCCATAAACAAAACCGGCTTAATTGATCTGCAAACATCGATTTTAGAAAGGCTAAAAAACAGAACAAGTTACTTGCCCAGCCCTTCTTAATATTAAAGCGTTGGTTTCCACATTTTATTACTGAGCCTCACAATTCGCTACTGCCATAGCTTTAGAAGTTATAAAGTACAAAGCTGGAAAACAGTTTACATTTCACGACGATGCCAAATCGCAGAGAAAGACAACAACTGTGTGAATTTCTGGTGTAGAAAGTCTCCAGGAAAACTTACTGGTGAATTTCTTAAACAGGTGGCAAAAAGTTTTCTCTAGACTTGCGCTGCCAACGTTTTGGTAAGATTCATAGTTTGTCCTATATGATAAGTGTAGTTCAATTTTCGAATATAATTCACCCAACTCCAAAAAACGCAAAGAAATACGGGTACACAGGGCTCAAACAAGCACGGTAACCTCATCTTTCTATTGCTTTTTTCAATGTTGTATTTATGGTCGTCCATTGGGCCAATTAAAAAATAATCTGGATAGTACATCTTTTTCACGAGAATTGCCTTAAAAATATGATGACTTGCTCTCTTCATAGGCCTCTGAATTCAAGTTCGGTATTCAACGATCCTCCATGTGGCAGTTCATAGGTCGAAAGGTTTCGTTCAGTTTGACTATGGACATTCCCGAGTCGACACCACTACAAGCCAAGATCAAACTTCTACCTAATGGCACGGCTAAACTACGACTGACACAAGTTAAATTCGCCTTAGTGAGCGAATACCTTAACGCCAGCATCAACACAACAACATTGATTTCGTCAGCTAGCGAAGGTTTAAAAGATATTGCACTGATTGACCTTGGTGATGTTACGAGAATCCCAACTGACAGTAGCACTCAGATTAAGATCGATTTCGAAGTGCAGTTGTTGAGTCACGTACATATTATTAACGGCGGTGTGCAGTGGGTTAGTGTAGGGGTTCAGTACATAAACCAGTCTGTCTGGGCAGCACAGTTAGCACTCAAAACCATCCAATCAGCGGTCAGCAGGCCTGATTTGATGATTTCATTTTGGTCTCATAGTGGATGTATGAGCGATACGTTTGACAAGTATGTGTACCGGTTTTTATTAGTTTTCAACGTTATCTGAATAGAGTTTAAAGTTTTGCTCGTAGTTTAAATTTACTGGATAGCTGAATCTACACAAATCGTTTTGTTGTTGTTGTTGTTTTGTAATGTATTTTTGCTTTCTTCGAAATATAGAGGTGAAGTTATTTATCGCCTTATCCTATCTCATTCGGACTTGACCACAGAAGAAGTAGCAAGCGGGATGATCGAATGGCCTTTGCCTCCTGTTCTTCGACTAAAAACCTGGAACAAAGTTGATGCGTCTATTAATGTGGAACTGGTCAATGAAACAGACAGGGTCACTATCAAGGTAAGAGAGAATAATTATGAATATAAAGGTTTTTTATCTTAACACTGTATTTATCACGGAGAAGATGCTGGCTTTTGGTCTCACCGCGTTTTCTCTGTTGCTTCTCCAGTTTGGACAATTCAACTTTTCGGATACCATCGACCTTGAAGTAACATTTAATCTTGATTTACACAAAACACACGCCGACGGAAAATTCCATGATTTAACAACGTACGTTATTGTCAAGTATAACGGCTCCCTGAACACATGCAGCTCATTTTCTGGTTCTCGTGAATTCACCTTTGACGGGCCAGCGACGACTTCTATCACATATTATGTTCCGAGTAAGTTAGAAGATACAAGTTCTTTTAAAGGTCGAGTTTTCTCGGTAGGGTACATGTAGAAGCCCTTACTAAATTTCCCTCTTCCATTTGTAGAATTACCCTGTGACCTGCCGCTAGGCATGATGGATGGTAGCATTACTAATGCCCAGATAACCGCCTCGTCCCATACCACCGGCTGGGAGCCTAACCAGGGCAGACTCAATAGCTCAAGAGCTTGGATACCTTGGATGTTACTTGCGTAAGTTACAATAATAATAATAATATTATTAATATAATACAATGTAAACAAATGGTATGAGACTCAGCCCCAGAGTGTGTTGAAGACGGATAAGATCGAAGTGTTGTGGGACTTCAACATACAGCGCGGCCACACTGTTAGACACAATAGAGGCTAGAAGACCGGATATTGTGGTTGTGGGGAAGGAGGATACAGTCTGTAAAATAATAGATGTTGCCGTACCAGCTCATTGCAGAGTCACCTCAAAAGAAAGTGGAAAAATTGAGAAGTATCAAGATCTCAAGCGTGAGACACTGACACTGACACTGAGGTGAACAATTGTTTTAGTATATACTAAAACAGTGAGATAATTGAGCCCAAAAATGATGATTTTTAACTCATTTACTGTTGCCTGCAAGGATTACAATTTTGGCGCGCAATTTCCTCAAAAGGAGTTGTGAATTCTTTTTGTATTTAAAATCATTTTGTAAAAAGGATTATTAGATTTAGTTTTAAGCTTATTTATGAACAAGTCAACTAAAAAAAAGTAACGCAAGACTTAAAGCTTAATTTGCATTTGTAAACAACAAAACTTTTTCGCCGGTTTTATCGATAAATTCAAGTCAAAAAGACAAAGCTTTACCTGTGAAAACTTCCACCCCGAGCTTCGTCACTTTCTTCTTGTATTTCGGAAACAGCTTGCTTGATTAGTTGTGAAATTTCTTTGTTTGTTACGGCAGCAAACCGGGAAGGCATTTTGCAACTTACGCGAGTTTGGCGTCTCTCGCTCGGAGGAACTAGAGGTGAATCAGTGAATAGTGCAGGATATTCACTGATTGAGAAGCCAATCAGAGCGCGCGAAAAACACTATCCACTGTTTTAGTATATACTAAATTGTAATAATGATGATACTGATAACAAAAATAATAACAATAATAATAATAATAATAATAATAATAATAATAATATGCTACCTACATCATGAAGGCACAAGAGGCCATGAAATTCTTTCACAAGTCTTCAAAGGGTTTAATTCATCTCATTTCATCAGCAATTTTGTTAAAATGCGTCATTAAATCCCCGTCTTTCATTTACAAGTTTCTTCTTCTCGAACTTTCCCTTACAGGAATAGTCCATCCACCTAACTGGCTAACAGGCCCCCTTGATGCATGGATTATCTTTGCTAATGTTTCGCTTTTCTTTTCAGGAAAGACAAACACCAGTACCTGGAGGTTAATTTTAACACCAAGGTTAAAATTATTCGTCTAACCACAAAAGGTCTTGGAGAGAGCTTTGTTACATCAATATCTTTATTTTACAGCGATGATGGAGTTATTTTCAAACCGCTCAAGCAAGGTAGCAAGACAAAGGTACAGCCGACTTGATTTTGAGGACCTTTGTAATAAAAATATTATTAGCGTAAAAGACAATATTGTTTTAACTAAATGAAGACCCTTATATCGCCTAACCATCTTTAAGCTTAGTGATTAGGGAGGGAAACAAGATCAGAACAAATGTTATTATTATTATTTTGTTATTACTTTTATTATACATTTTTTTTTGTTTTGTTTCTTCATTTGTGGCGGAATAGTTGATGAGAAAAGCAAAAAAACATCTCACCCAATACGATGTCTTTATGGTTGGTCAATTAAGAAATGAGCGGAATTTTGTCACCTAGCAGGTTTACATTGAAATATTTAGCAGATTCTTGTTTGATGGAGTTGTATGACGTCATAACTTCAAAAAGCCGCCATCTTGGATTCTAGAAAGTTAGAGAAACGCATATACGTTAAATTAATACCGAAAAAAAAAAATACCATTTGATGCCATAGGATCTACTGGCCAACATTAATGGCGATTGTGAGGCTGTGATCATTCTTCCAGTGCCATTTGAAGCGGTGTTTGTTCGTATTAATCCAACCGCCTGGCAAAACAGCATTGCCCTGAAAGTTGAGTTTTATGGATGCAAACTAAATCAGCCTGTTCTTTCAAGTATGTATTGCAACGTGTAATTGTTTATGACTGAGAAAATAGACGTATTTTGTATATTTATCTAAAAAAACATCACGTTTACAGGCATGGTGTTGGGAGTTTAGAGTAATCATTACAACTATGAGAGGGCTATAAATAAATCAGACAAAATAAAAATTCGCTAAAATTCGCTACTTTCATACTGATTCACACGAACATACTCTGTTTAGGACCAAGGTGTCAAATTTTGAACAGCAGTCTTTCAAATTTATCCTCGAAATTATAGTCGTTAAAAGAGAAATAATAAAGAAAAACGTTTTCTTAAATTATATGATTGAAGAAACTTTTAAATAATTTTTTATGCCTAATTTTCCGTAGAAAAAAGTCACAATTTGCTCGAAATGACTAAACACCTTACAACGATTTCTTCTTGCCTTTGAAGTCTAATAGAGTTAAGAAGAGTAACGGCATAGAAATAATAGTTTTTCGAACTTAGGACTTTGTTGGCATTTTCAAAACGAGCAAGAAAACAGTAGCCTCTTGTTACAAGTTCAGCGTGTTGGTGCAAATTGGAGGTTGGCATATTACTACCGTGATACTCGTAGGACTCTACATCACCTTCTAACTTTATTTGTATCATGGCGTTTATGACCAGGTGAATTTCATTCTGACATAGAGCTTATAATCGCTCGCAACGGCAGCGTCTCAATCCCCCTACGGTGGCCTAAATCTACACCAACAACTCAGTTGATAAAAGTGATTTTTCTCAGTAGTAGAGGGATTTGTAGATAGTCATTAGAGGATTACGGTGCTAAAAGAATATCTCACTGCCATTTTGTACTAGCTAATATTTGGAAAGAAAGCCTTATTTTTGTTTTCACTTTGTTCTTCCTTATTACCCTACTGATCTCAATATTTTTTGTATATTTACTGTTTGTGGCGTTAGTCATCTTTTAACTCTATTAAGAGCTGTGTTCTATTCTATTCCATCTTATACGTTGAAATTTGATTCACATATATATAATCTGCACTTTTTTCGACAACAAATTGTACACAAATTGAAGATCTTTTAATCTAGGATTTTAAAATTAGTCGTAATTAGTTTATTGCAAAACAAATGGAAAACAGTTTTCCCCCAAAAAACTCAGTATTTTGCGGGCACCACAACAGTAAACCCAGCCTGTCAATCTTCCTTCTGCAATTTAGAACTTTTGATTATCAATTTATCAAGCCCAAATGAATGACTGAGATTAATTTAATTTATGCAGGTCCCTTGAACTTTACCGGTCGTGGATATTACCTGGACAAAACTAGCGACACCATGTACATTTGTAGTTTGTCAATGGAATGGTGAGATCTTCACGCTACTAATTAGACGGCGAGTGTAATCGTCCTCTTTTCCCGTTTAGCCAAACCCCTTAAGTTCCAAGAAGAACGACAGACCATAATTCCTTTCCAACAAAATCAGTACAGAATTTTATGCGAGTTAATAATTAACATGATGATGACGGGACAGTGCGTTGATCTTTTGTTAAATTCTCAGATATTTTGTCAAATTTAAAGAAATGCATGGAGGAGTCCATGGAGATCAGTTTTAAGAAATTTCTATGCTGCTATATATATTGGTGCTTAAAAGGGGAAATGTGTTGGTCGTCCATGAGCGACAAGAACAAGCCCGGTGCCTCCAGTTTCTTATTAATAACCTGATTAGAATTGATCTTAGGAAAAAGAAAAAAAAAATAACGGCAAGCAGACTAGCTGGAAGCGAATTTTGTGACGTCACAGTTGAAAAGCTTATAAGCTTATACTTTATTTGCTAGCAGGTTTTAAGCTTTGTCGTACCGATAAGGTATCGTGCAAGTTAAAGTTTAGTAATTACCTTGCAACTAGTTTTATCGTACATTTTTCAGCAATGAGCATTCGCCCAAATGCTTCTTTAGCAAAGGCAAGGGTGCTTCATGGACAGGTATATCGATCGCTATCCTATACATTTTGTAAATTATTATCATTATTATTATTATTATTATTATTATTATTGTTATTATATTGTTGTTGTTACTGTTGCGGTTACTTTTGTTGTCCATTGTTTACGCCATCGAAATCATTCGATAGAAAAAGTCCAAAATCGAGAAATTTAGATTATCTTGAGAAGTTTCTTACCTAAATTTATAGAATTTGTATGGAGACGCCCGTGCTGGTGTCCTCAACTGTAGCACAAGGAAATGATCACAGGCTGAAAATCAATATTTCTAGTGTTGATGAGGAGCAACTCTACATTTGTAGTTTGGTTACTAGCGGGCCATGTTTTACAACATCAAAGGCCTTGCGTAGATCTAAAAATATCGCACCAGTGTATAAGCCTTGATCCATTGCCTCGAGCCGGTCAAGTTTTTTTTTTGTCAGGTTCATTGGTACTGATCTTAATGCCCCCCATTACCACCGGAATCACCTTTGTCATTACATCCTACAATTTTCAAACTTCTTTCGCAAGATCTTGATATTTCTCAACAATTTCTCTTCCTTTTTTCTCACCCGTCCATTCTCTGGAATTGCCACATCTATAATTTGACAGCTCTTTTCGCTCTTGTTAACGATCAGCAAATCCGAACTCCTGGCCCTGAGTTCATGGTCTGTTCGGGTACTGAAGTCCCACAAAAAGTTATAATCGTCATTTTCAAGCGTACTTTATCAGGGACATGGCCTGATAAATTTCATTGGGCTCAAACCCACACTTTCCTGCCAGATCCTAATAGATCGCCCTAGCCACGTTGCTCTAGCCACGTTGTCATGTCTCCTCTTGTATTCTTTTTGTGCCATTATTAAGATTATGTTTATGATTGTTATTTCCTATCATTATCAATATCATTATCATCATCATTATCATCATCATCATCATCATCATCATCATCATCATCATCATTATCGCTATCGTTATTGTTATCGTTATCTTTATTAATAAACAATTTTCCTCTATGACCTCAGCGAGAAAAGTCAATTTTTTAGGTTTAACAGCTCACGCCATTACATTTAAGAAGAAGGAGTTTTGGGTGGAATTCAGGCGCTTCTGACTTTCCTTCTTTAATTTGCCTTTAAAACCTGAAAAACTTTGTTTTCAGTTGTTTTTTTTTTCATCTTTTTAGCCATGCATCATGGTATAATTTCCATCCTTGGCCATAACACGCTGGAAAACATTTTGTACGTAGTAAGCGCTAATGGAAAAGCCATTTTGAAAGGCACTACAGATTATTCGGCAAAGTTCATAGCTGTTCCCCTGAACGACTGGGACATCGTTAAAGTCAAGGGAACCACGAATCTTGCGGTTATGATTGGAGATGTTTTGATTATCAATGACACCAACGTGGCACCACTACCTGAGCATACAGTAATTTCAACCAGCGGCACCAAGTGGGGAGGTACGTGTTTCTGTTAAGATATTTTCATTTCTTTTCCTCATTAGCATTAGCTTGTCGCTTTCTAATATTGAATCAAATAGGCCATTTGAAACGATGGTGTCATTTTGCTACTACGACCACGATCTTCCAGGGTTTGGCTTTCTTGTGCAAATTAAAGGCTTTGTTATTCAAAGCTCAGTGGGATTAACATATAGATTTAGCCAGGGCTAAAAGTGAAGCTCCCGTTAATAAATTCATAATTCAAATCAAACAATAAACTTGTAATCCACAGATCAGGGCACATTCATTTGACTTTTGAGGCAAAGGCTAAGTGATTTTAGAGAAAAATAGTTTGTCAGACCAAGAGTGAAACAGCTTTTACATCGAGTTATTAAATAGTCTTATTTGTACACCCAAAAATAGCAATCATGTTCGATCACAGTAGATTAGGCCTGGAAAACAAATAGACCTACCTATTCGTGTATTGTATTTGCATTAGCTGTTGCATCATAATGTGGCATTCACCAGTCTCTCCAACATTGCTCCGTTTGAGAGACTAGGGATAATTGGACAACCCCGAAATATAATTTTAAGAAAGACACGTGCCACGATAGTCCTTGGTGGCAGCCAATTTACACGTTGCATTCCTCTGTCTTAAAGAGAGGCCAAAATAAAAAATCAGGCCGGATTTTTTGTGTTCGACAAGTTAAGTTTACTAGTAAATCTTGGCGACGAATCTGGTGGCGTGTAAACCAGCCTTTTAAACATACTTTTTCTCATTTCGTCTCAGGTAAACAGTACTGTGAGGCCCTTTTTTTATCATACAGACCTCGGACAGAATTTGTTCTTTTTTGCCCTATTTAAACCTATAATTCTGCAGTTTTTCACAATTTTGCAAGAGAATTTACACTCATTCAATATCCACGACGATCAAAGCACGCGCTTCCTTTGCACAACAAATGATAGCATTAAATTAAAAAACGTTTTCATGAGGAGAATTCTATAATGCCGGGACTTTTCAGTTAGAAAAATCTGGTCCTATGTGATATGCAGGGTAATAATTATGGGATTTTAATGAAAACGATAAAAAAAATTCCCGAAATCACTTTTCGGCCAGCCGGACGGGCCTCACTTTTGACAGGCACCAAATTTGCAGTGCGATTAATAGAGTTACCATTTACGCTTCAACATGATAGATAAATTGTTATGTTTAGGTTTTATTTCCCTTTATTTATTAAACTGTGTATGGTTTTGTTATGTGTCATCTTTAAAAGCGAGTGATATTTACGCGCGGCGTTTTGAGTATTCCTGCATGCGATGTTTATGTTCGACTGGAAACAACCGGTGCAGCGATAAAAATTGCGAGAGAGACTACTAACAATCAAAAAAATAAATATAATTCGATGAAACATGTACAGAGACAATAATTTTCATTCACGAAGAGAAGTATTGAAAGTAAAGTGTCTCTGAAAATCATGAGTCAGGTAAGCATAAGCCTATTTATGTTTTAAGCCGGCTTCCCGGTGGCTCTTTTTCAAGATGAACTCGAGGCAAGAAAATCGCTCAGAGCTTTCTGTTTACAGCCAAAATCATAACTAAATAATCTTCGGAACCTTTTCTTTGAATTTGTGGTCAAAAAATGTCTAAAGGCTTTTTAAACCTGATATTATTGTAGGTTAGAACATAACTCGTGTATCAACTTACGCCGCATAAACCATACGTTCGACTTCAGGAAAACCGAAAAAAAAAAACACATCAAAGACAATAATTGCTCAGGCTTACCAGTCGAGATGCTGCTTCTGAAGGTCATCAAGTGTTCCAGAATCGCTTGAGACTTTTCAACCCTCTTACGCCTCAAGCAAGGGCAAGTGAGTAAGCTCATTTTTGAAAACGATGCCAAATCGAAATCGGATTTCCAGTGACTTTGACAAGCGGTGCATTTGTCAACAAAAAGCGCAATAAAAAAACCATGAATTACAGAACAATCTTGATAGCAGCTGTATTTCATTTTGTACACCAAGTAGAAAAAGACAGTTTAAAGCATCACAAGATGACACAAAACTCTGTCAGCTCCAGCTATCAGTAAGCAAGTTTCCAGACGCTGCATAAATTTTCCGCATGAACTCACCTGTCAAATTTTGACCAATCAGAACATAAAAATTGGACGTAGAGCGTGATCAACACGTGACAGTGAGAAAAGTCAAAAGTGATTGCCTTCCCTGCATGTAAATGTAAAAGCCGGTTGAATTTTCGCGTCCGAGGTCAGTTCGAAATCAACATTTTAAAAGTGCGGCTCATGAACACGACTTATTTCATATGCATTTTTAAAAAATTGAACTTGAGCCTGCGATAATTGAAAAGTAGCAACTTGTCAGCGGATACACTCGAACTCAGTGGGTCGATACCTGAGCCCGCGATAGGGTCAGGCGATACTGGTCAGCAGAAACACTATTTTGACAGCTGTCGATTAATCAAAACATGGTTGTACAATATCAGGTTGCAGGCTCCCAAACTAGCTAGAAAGTGTGAGATTAAACATTGGTATGCCTGTGGTGCGGACAAACGGAAGGTGGGGTGGTCGGTTTACGGTCACGTGATTGCCGAATTTTCTAAGATGGATAGATTTTCTAAGCTATGAGGCTTCGAATTGAGCCCGTGATCAAAAAAATATCAGCGCACAACTTTAAACACTACGTGACCTCAATGGATAGACAAATGAGCCCGCGATACACTCAGGTGATGATGGTCAGCGTATACTCTAGTTTGACAGCTGTCAATTAACCTTCATTAGAATGGCGAGTATTCGAATTAACAGACTACGAGTGTGAGTAAGGCATATCCGTCCGGCATGTAGTGGAAAATGCCAGATCGTGTACCTGAGCGAACCCGAGCCCACGTTATTAGTTTTCTGATAGTGGTCTGCACATGTCCCATTTTGACAGCTGTCAACTGACCTTAATTTGGCTTGCCAATATAACTTTAAACGACTGTCAGCCAACTGACAGCCTTGCCCGGCGTAGTTTCGTTTTTGTGTTGAATTGGTAAGTGAGACATATTATATCAGCTTATATGTCGGGGCAAAACGACTGGTCTTTCATCTAAGCCCGCGAGATAGTCATGTGATAATTGTCAGCGGATGTCTGATTTTGACAGCTGTCAATCTAATCGTACTCATACGGGTGGCTTATATAACTAAGAGGCTAGTCAAGTTGTGCAAGATCTATTGTGACATTGGACATCTGCTTACTTGAAGAGTGGGTATGGGTGCGCGGGCGGGCGGGCGGGCGTACGCTACGTCATAACCAAATTTTCTCGGATGGATAGTTTACCAAATTGTCGTACCCATGGTGCTCCGCTGCGCGCGCGCTTCGCGCGCGAGGAGCTCCGCTATCAAATTTAAATATGACAGAAAAAACGAAATGAATTCTGATCTTAGTAGCGGAGCTCCACCCGCGCGCAAAGCGCGCGCGTGGACGGAGCCCCATACCTAAGGAAATGTGGTAATCTACCCATTGGAGAAAATTTGTTAATCACGTGACCGTACGCCCGACCGTCCGTCCGCACCACAGGGAAACCAATGTTTACTCTCTCACTTTCTAGCTAGTTTGGGAGCTCAAGAGAAAGGCTAATTGCACATCAATGTTGTGATCAATTGACAGCTGTCAAAACAGGATATCCACTGACCAGTATCACCTGACCGTACCGCGGGCTCAAGTGTCGACCCATCGAAGTCGAGTACTTTTTTGAAGTTATCCGCTGACAAATTAATAGTTTCAAATGATCGCAGGTTCAAGTTCTTTTTTTTCCCATGATTCATACGAAATGTGTTGTGTTTTTGTCACTTTGGCCCCGCACTGTCAAGATTTTGATTTCAAACTCACCTCAGACGCGAAAACTCAGCCAGCTTTTTAAAAATACAGGCGGGAAGACCTTTTCTTACCATGGTCACGCGTTGGTCACGCTCTATGTCCAATTTTTGTACTCTGATTGGTCAAAATTTGACAGGTGATTTCATGCCGAAAATTTACACAGCATCTTGAAAGTTGTTTACTTTGACAGCTGAAGCTGACAGAGTTTTGTGTCAACTTGTGATGTTTTTAACTGTCTTTTTCCACTGGATGTACAAAATGAAATACAGCTACTAACAAGAGTCTTCTGTTACCCATGGCTGGTTTGTTTATTGGGTTTTTGGTTGAGAAATGCGTCCCTTGTCAAAATTGGGTATATCCGATTTCGGATGGCATCGTTTTTGTTTTTCACCTTGCTTAATGCGTAAGAGGGTTTAAAAGTCTCAAGCAACTGTGGCCTTCCTTGATATCTTTCAGGAACTGAAACTCGAATGGTAAGCCTGAGTAATAATTGTATTTGATGTTTGTTTTTGTTATATTTAATTTCATGAAGTCGAGCACAGTTTATGCGGCAGGTTTTTGCACGTTTGTAAGATTTGAGTCAATGATCTGACCTAGTATCAGGTTTGATGTAAGATTACAGAACTTTAAAAGGCCTTCAGATATATTTTCTCCCGGCAAATAGAAAGAAAACGTTTGGAAGAATATTTAGTTATAAATTTCGCTGTAGAAAGAAAACTTTGAGCGATTTTCTTGCTTCGAGGAGTTCATCGTTGAAAAAGCAAACACCGGGAGGCCGGCTGAAGAAGTAAAACAAAATAAACTTAACCTTAAGCTTAAAGACTCAGGATTTTTAAAGACCCGTTAATACTTGTCTTCGCGAATGAAAATTGTTGTCTCTGTAAATGTTTCCCCCGAATTATAATTCATTTATTGATTGTTAGTAGTCTCTCTTGCAATTTTGATCGCTTGTCCGTGGCGTTTGTTTTCATCGTTCATGAACATCGCTTATAGGAGTACATGTCGCGTGTATCAAACGCTTTATAAGACTACACATCGTTATAACTGAAACCATTAAATAACAAAAAATAATGATATTAAATTTGTGATTATGTTGAAGCGTATCTCTGTTAAAGTTCATTCAAACACTCGACCATCACTGACAGCTCGCACTAGAAATGAGAACCGGCTGGCCGTATGGGTGATTTTGGAAGTTTTTTGAACGGTTTCGCTAAAAGCCCACGATTTGTCGTCCTGAACATTGATTGAGTACAATTTGTCTTGAAAAATTGTGAAATACCGTAGATACTGTCCGAGGTCTGTATGATAAATAGGTACTGTTTCACCTCAGATGTGATGTATAAAAAGTATAAAAGGTTGGTTTACACACCCTCAGATTTGTGGCAAGAATTTGCAAAGTAAACCTATCGAACGCAAAAAAATTCGGCCTGATTTGTTTTCCAAGAATTTGTTCTCGAGGCCTAATTTACAGTGGTCAAGAGCCATTGAATATGATCGAAGTTGTTTGCTAATTTTTGGGTGTACATATTTAGGCTATCAACTCGATGTAAAATGTTTCACTCCAAAATAACTTATCCTTTCCCTCAAAAGTCACATAAATCAATGTGCTCTTAAGTTAACTGACTTGTGGATTACAAGTTTATTGTTTAATTTAAAATATAAATTTATTGATGGGAGCTTCGCTTTTAGCCCTGGCTAAATCTATATATTAGTAAAACAACGTCATCGTGCAAATGGCCGATAAGCACAATTTTTATTGACTGAAAATTCGGTCAGATATTCGAAATAATTTTTGTTCTAAAGGGTTAATAACAAAAACGTTTACATGCAAGGAGCTAAACCTGGGCCAGATTCGATATTTAGGGAGATAAGGCTAAATCAAGAACTATTTATTTATGAACTTACCTAAAAAAAATCATTTGGGGAATAAGGAAAAGAATTTGTAGCATGCAAAATAGCATACAGCAATCGTTTATCTGAATGGTGTTAAAACAATGAGATTTTACCAAGTCTCAAAACCTCTATTCCTCTAGAAGTGTCATGTAGAGTGGACAATGTTCCCCAGTTTAAGAGTCTCACTAGCATTACAACTATAACACTATATCTTTACTTGCCTTATTTTGAAGTGTCTGCGAAAGGTATTCACGTGGAGGAATCACTACAGTGGAAACTAAAAGCAACTTGGAGATGCTACGGTTCGTAAAAATAATAATGATGATGATGATGATACTTCTGCTTTAGCAAATAAGTGACTAGAGCTAATATTCAATTCAAACAGCCAGATGCAAACCATTTGGCTATTGACACTAGGGTCCAAGTATTCGAACACCGGACTTAACCACCAAAAAAAGTAATACAGCTTGCGATCAGGGTACAACTGAGACTACTTGCCTTACTCATGAACGTCTGTTTTTGTCCAATTAGATTGCTTCCCTTGTCATTTCGACTTTGAAAATGGAAGACTTGATGGTTGGACTAAGTCTGGTACTGTGTTTGACAATCAGCCAACTTATGGTGACAACCCGACAGCACGTGGCAGAGGTCAGCCTGCAAACCAACAGGGAGTCTGGTGGATCGGAGGTGCCGAAAACCGTCCAAAAACAAGTTCACCTGCAGGATTGCTACAAGGAGATGGACCCCAGGGAACTCTCACCTCCCCTCCTTTTTTCATCAGCGGTAATGGGAAATTGTCTTTCTTGATTGGAGGGGGATGTAACACTGATTATATTCGAGCAGAGTTGATCATCAACAACCAGGTAAACATGTTCAGTAATAAGGTGGTTTTTCTAGATAAAAATAATCTTACCCGCCAAGTACCTTGTCATGTCATAAGTCAGGGAATCATTCCTTTTGAGACAGACTTCTCTCATGTTGCTAAGTTCTTCTATGAGAGGAGATACTCTTTTCTCGCGACGTTGTTATTCTGGGGTCTTACACAAAAAATTTAGCCTGCGTAGCAGACGCAATAAACCCCGGTTAGTAACTTCTACGAAGCAATGCCGAGAGCCTTCTTCTAGGCCGCCAGTGGACCCCACGATCCAGAAATGCGTTTCGATTTCCTTTCATCCTGATTGGCAAATCGACAATACCTCTTTTAACAGGCCAATCATGGCGCGTACTCAAATCCGGGTACACATGTGGGGGCCTGAAACAAGGATTTCGGCGCTTCTTTGCAGATGGACTTATGGTGACGATGATGATGATGATGATGATGATGATAATAAAATTAAGGAGCATTCTCCATAGCGCTCAAAAATACGTCAATCATTCATGATCATTTGATTGCCTATTCTTTAGTTAACTATCTGGGTGTTGTTAATACCACAAACGTATTAAAAAATACGTTCATTAGTCAAATGAATGTTTATATCTCGCAGGTGGTGAGAAAAGCAACTGGGCAATGTACGGAGACTATGGCTCGTCAGACGTGGGATGCAAGTGAATTTGTCGGTCAGAAAGCCTTTCTTCGCTTAGTGGATGCCTACTCTTACAGCTGGGGCCACATCAACTTTGACGATCTACGCGGAGATATCATCTTTGTGTATTGCAACATTTATTAAGGCAAATAATAAACTTTAAAACTTAATCTTTATTATATAATAAATAACAATTATTCACCGAAGTGGAGGTGGCTAGTATTGGATATTTACCGATGCCGCGAAAGCTCGTAGCTACTGATTGCGGCTGGCTCGATGACGACGCAACGGTTTTCTGAGGGACTGTAACAGCCTTGTCATCGCCACCAGCTGGATCGAAGAATTCACTTAGCTCGTTTGACATTCTTTTAAACTGCTCGAATGTCGGCGTATCACAATAGCTCTTGCTGCTTTCTTCACTTTGGTGGCCGGTTATTGCCCTGATGTACCGACTCTCGATGTTTGCAGCTGACAAAACCGTCACGGTGGTCGCTCTGATCGAGTGGTTTGTTAGATGTGGCTTTATTCCAGCTCTTGATGTCATTCTTCGTAGCATATTTTCAAGCGTGTTGTGGCCAAGTGGACTCGAGCAGTACCACACAAGATCCGTTGCTGGGTTAAACGCTTTGCACGAGCTTCTTGGTTTCTGGAATAAACTGCTGCATTTGGGACTCAGATGTGACAGGTATTTCTCGATGAGTTTCACTGGGCAGCGTTTTGAGCCTGGTCTTTCAAATATTTTTCCGTTTGACTCATCTTCTTTATCATCTAGGCCACCTTGATGATTTTTAGTCGCCAACACTGCTCCGCGCTCTTTGTTTATTTCCAGATATTTTCTCACCATTTGGCGCTTCCCTTGAGATAAGCATGTGTTTCTTAAGCAGGTGCTGGTTTTCTCGACCTCTCTTTCCGAGGAATAAACTGATGAAGAACCAGGCCGTCTGCTGTACTTTGTGTGGTTGGAGAGAATGGATGTCAACAAGCTCGCCTTCTTCGTAAAGTTTCTCAACAATTTCCTTTGTTAGGGCTTGTTTGTGCACTGTCGGAGCTATTTGGCCACTTTTGCTCAGAGTTTTCAGAAAATTGCTGAGGGATTTATTGGCTTCATTAAAACGACTGTCGCCAACAATGGAAAATGGCTTTGAAAACGGAGGACTTTTTAAGTGACGATGTAACGCGGCTCGGATTGCGATAAGCGACTTTTTGTTGTAGTAACGGCCGTCACGTTTTCGTGCGGACAGGTAAAATTTTTGGAGGTATTTGTTAAGCTGAATTGGTGACATCTCCTCAAGGGAGTTTTGAACTCTTCTTGCATCTGAAACCATTCTGTAAAAAAAGTAAGCTTATTTATAAACATGTCAGCTAACATTAAGTAACGAAAGACATAATTTGCATTTGTAAACAAAAAACGTTTTCACCGGTTTCATCGATAAAATTCAGGTTAAACAGACAAAGCTTTACCTGTGAAAACTGCTAGACCGAATTTAGTCGCTTTTTTAGTGTTGTCTGGTATGGCCTCTTCATTTATTCTCGAAATTTCGTCGCTAGTTACCGTGGCAAACCGAGACTGAGCCATTTTTCTCGTACATGTAACTTGCAAGAGTTTCGCGCCGCTCGGCTGGAGGCGAATCAGTGAATAGTGCAGGATATTCCGAGATTGAGCAGCCAATCACAGCGCGCGAAAAACACTATCCACTGTTTTAGCATATACTAAACAAAAATATAACAAAAGGAGAATACGCAACTTTGAACAATAGCCTCTTGAAATGAATTTTATTATGGTAATATGAATACGGAAGGTAGTTCCTTTTGAGATTATTTTTAAAACTGCTTTAGGCCCTGTCAACAAGTATCCGTTTTTGTTTGAAACGAAGTTTTTTTACGTTCATAAACATCGGCGTCCACACCTTGTGTTTTTTAACCGTTTTTGTCCGTCCACACGAAAACGCAATAGCGACTGAAAAAGGTGCCATCTTTGATGGGAGCATACGCGTCTACTGGTTTATGAACCTGTGACGTGTAACCGTTTTAAAAGAAACACCTCAACACTGGAGAACGTTTTTAAAAAGATGCGTTTTGGTGACTGTTTTTTACCTGATACGTATATATGGGGTAAAGGCTAGACCGGAGAGGGAAAAAACTAAACAAAAATGGATACGGTAGGACGGAGCCTTAGAGGATTCATTTGCAGTATTCGCTTGTAGCTGTCGCATTTGCTGGTTAAAAATATAGATTTAGGTAGGGGTAAAAGCGAAGCTCTCGTTAGTATGTGCAAAAAATAATGTTAATAATAAAATCGTGTATGCTAAACGGCGAAGGTGACTAGAACGGCAAAAAAAATAACTAGTAGGTTTAATTAGCAAAACAGACGAACAAACAGGTTTTGCACGTGCAGCACACTTGTTGATTTCATTGCCTTTGTTTTGGACGAACAAAACATGAAACTTACTAGTTAAAAGTTTTATGCAGAAAATGCAGTCGAATTTTCTCCAAAAACATTTTCTTGCTTGTGTTCTTTTTCCCTATTTTTTTTTTTTTAACTTTGCTTTGTTGTCGTCGTTGTTTTTTTCTCTCTAAAAGTCCGGGTGGCCGTGCAAATAGTTAATGTGACATCAGATATCGGCACACTTAGCTTGCATGAAGAGGATAATAACCAAAATTTCTTGGATTTACAGGTTACCATTTTTTGTTTCTCATGGAGTTCCGCTATAATCTTAATTTATTGTCTTATCGTTGAAAAACAACAAAAAATTCCAGTGTACGCTGCAAGTGCCATCTTAGGTTTCAGCTGATTTCGCGAGGAGATTTGATATTTCTAATGAGCTATTTCTGAGCTCCATACACTCTCACTTTCAAAGCAAAGCTTAGTGTGAAACCTTTTTTCTGAAAAAAAAAAATCATTTTCAAATCAATGGCTTTATACTTAGACTACCTTTGAAACAGAGTGTCTTGAGGCAACTTAAAAATAGCCTATTCTAGCCAAAACATAACTATTTGTTCGTGATAGCTAGCTCCCTACACTAATGTAGCAAGAAAAGCTGCAACGATTTAGACGCCGAAAAAAAAATTCTTCGAATTAGTATTCTAAGCCAGCACGTCACGAAACCTCTTTTCATTAACTAATTTAGTTTTGTTTTCTCGTGCTATGTTCCTACCAATCGTGTTGCTCCTCCAATTGAAAAGCGATCAAACGCCATACAGCCTGCAGTCACTTGATTGCCATAGAGGACCACCTAGTGCTTCCAACGTCAGCTTTCCAATCTTTTTTCGGTTTAAAATGACTTTATAGAGAAGCGCGTAACTATCCTGTGCGTACCTGCAACCCTCCAGGGTAAAAAAAGTAAATAAGTAAATAAATAAGTAAATGAATGAATTTTTTAACAAACAAACAAACAAATGAATAAGGAGGATTTAGAAAATCGTGTGGAACTTTTGGAAAACATCCTGGCTACGTCCCTGCAGTTTATCAACTTATTTGTTGCACTTCATAGACTATCAAGGAATCAACAGTTTCCTTAGAAACTAGCCTTTCATTCATGTATTGGATGTTTAGTTTTTTCATACAATTGGCTCCCTTTTTATTTTACTTCACCTTTGACCAGTTCATTTTTTAGGATTTTAACAGAGAAAAACTTTTGTCCATGAACCTTAAGATCAGCCCCCAAGCCTGACCAAGAAGTGTTTCAGTTCTAACGAACCGGTAGAGCAAATGTAACTTTGCTTTAATGTCACCCTATAGTTGGTATCCGTCCGTCTCGGGAGACTACGGATTTGCGCTCTGGTCAAAGTGGACTCATCAAAGTCTTCTGTGGCTGCACAATCCAATCGGTAGTGGCAATCTCCTCCTCAATGTGTGCAGATGTAATTGGAGGTGTCTCTTTGGCGTTCTCTTTCTTCCCTTCCTTGTCTCATCGGATCTGCCTTCTCAGCTAACGACACGTCAAATGTCTTTCCCTTCTTCACAGCCTGCCTCCAGCTAGCCTATTCCAGACGTTCAGATAGTATTAGAGCGTAGCGTTTAGATGGTGGGGAGCGAGTTACAAAATCTTACGCGGGGAAAACTAGGGGGAAAAACAAGGGAGACTGGGGCTCCCCTTTTCTGTCCCTTGTCTTCTCTCGTTTTTTTTCCTCAATAATTTTACGTCAGCGTTCTACTGTCTGAAAGCCTGGAACAGGCTAGTCTCTAATGTGTGTGGTAAAAAGCTAAGGTTTCCCAAGTCTTGAAGTTGATCTGCAGGGTTTTGATGTCTTTCTTGTAGACTTCTTTGTAGCGAAGCTAAGGTCTGTCATCCACAGAGAACGAGAACGAATAAAGCCTACTATTGACTTGATTTGATTTGATTGATTTATTTGTTTTTGTCACTTTAAAGGTTACATAAACTGAAAAATACAGAAAAATATAGTGAGGGGGAAGCCTGAACTGGAAGCCTGGGGTTTATATGGGGTCCAGGCTCCCCCTAGATAAGTTTAAGTAGACATAAATTAGCGAAAAGACAACGAGATTTTACAAAATATACTGCAGTATAATTAACAATTATTCCACGAGGGCGCGTTGGATATGAGATGATAGATAGCCAACGAGGCGCATAGCGCCAAGTTGGCTATAATCATTTCATATCCAACAAGCCCGAGTGGAATAATTGTTTTATTAAAAACGCCCACAAAATCTCGTTGAATCGCCCCGACTAGAACAAACCGGAAAAGACATGGGACTTCCGCTATTGACATTTCACACGTCTATCAAAACTGTCAACGCGCGAACGGGCTCGCCTAGACTTGCATGAATGAAAAATCAAAACATTGTGCGATGAACATTAGTTTTTTAAAAACTCATCGTGATTCTAGGATTTTACACAGCAGAACAGCTTAAAAGACCTGGCAGATAATGTGAAGGGAAGGAATTTTTAAGTGACAGCCGTCGAAATTACTATGAATTTGGATTTTCGGTGCAGTTATAAAAGTAAGAACAACGGAGAAAAACTACTGGTATTACCTCGTCGCTTGTTATGAAGTTGTTTGAAGCCACAAGCTGGTTTTGCTGAACGAGAAAAGAAGCTATACCGCCGCCTCGATTGCTCTAGTGAATGGCTGCATAGCCTGTATTTGTAGCTGGTTACTTGTGATTTATATTCTTGATGTTGGATAAACAAGCTGCAGTTATCTATCGGCGAGTGACTCGATCGGCGAATGGCTTCGCGATCATGAAGAAACAACACTTGTCTTCTTTCGTAGCTGGTCAAGGTACTTTAGTTCCATGTGTTTTTCGACAAACTTTCCAACAAGCTCTTGTGGCTTTTTTGTTTGTTTTTGTCTTTTTTCTTTCGTTGAAATTGCATTTCTAGTATTCTAAGAAATGAATTAAAACGATTTGCTTCGGGCGCCGTTCAATCCTTCGCGAGAAAAAATCTCAGTTAGCTTCCAATTTTAAACTGACGCGTACACCGACCATATATGGAGAACATGGTATATTAGCTCATATACCATAACGGCTAAGCCAATCAAAATGCTAGAATTGCATTATCCAATGATTCAGTTTTTAATAAAGTAGGATAGAGAAGAAAAGAACAATACAATTTAAATACATACAAAAACTACTTACAAAAATAGGATGACATATTTTGACTAGAACATCTCGATAATATTAGGTATTATTAAAAACTGAATCATTGGATTATGCAATTCTAGTGCTCTGATTGGCTTAGCCATCATGGTATATGAGCCATTAGTAAAATCCAACTTGTGGTCTATTATCAATGCTGCGTTCTGATTGGTTGAACTACTACTAGGCTATATGTTATAGCCCACTAGTAGCGAAAAGCGCCGGCTTTGAAAACCAAAACAATG